CTGCAATACTGTAATAATTGTATAAATAACATCAACCCATTCATGACTGCATATTAGAATGGCTAGTTGGACATTTATTGGACAATGGCATCATTTGTTTATTTTTGAACATTGGCAAAAATCAAACATTTCCCCTACTTTGAGCTCCATTTCTAGGTTCTTTTTATAGTAAAATCAATAAAAATCACCTCTATTTCTATAATATGTTTTCCATTCTATCAAATGAGACCAAGAAAACGAGAATACAAACATAAATACTATATGAAAATAGACCACAAATTCGGCATTTTAATTAAAAAAAACGGTCGGAGTTTCTTTTTCTCATTATGCACTGCGTGCTCCAGGATTTTTTTTATATGGTGCACACTGACACCACAGACCCATTCTCTCACATGTGGGCCTACCAGCTTTCTCCTGCTTGATTTGAAGCCGCTAGAATTTATGAGTATACTGTGGAGCCCCACATAACGATCACCTCCGAATGCGACCAATTATGTAAGTGTATTTATGTAAGTGCGTTTGTACGTGTATGTTTGGGGGTCTGAAATGGACTAATCTACTTCACAATATTCCTTATGGGAACAAATTCGGTCAGTACTGGCACCTGAACATACTTCTGGAGAGAAAAAATATCGTTAACCGGGGGTCCACTGTATATACGTCAAACACGGTACCTCGTAAGACGTATATATACGGCCGCGACAGTCAAAGGGTTAAATCTCTTAAACCAACCTTTGCTGGCCTTAAATTCACTCACATCACCACTAGTTGCAGGCGTTTTTCTAATTAAATTGTCATGCAACTTCCTACCCTTTTCACATATGATCGCTTAAGAGATGCTATCTCCTGCTATCTGTTTTTCGTTTATCCACACCAATAACAGTCTCTCAACATTTTCTATCACTTGCGATCTCTGTTTCGAAAACAAAGTTGCACCTTTGGCAAGAACAGCTTCCTTGATTGCCGTTTTCTTGGCCACAATAGTAGCGATGGTTGATTGGGTTTTGTGTACAACCTGGCCAGCTCGGAGACGCACACTCCACTTTCATACTTAGCAATGATCTCTTTCTTCATGTCCATAGTAATTCTTACTCTTTTTGCTGTAGGGTTGGCACTAGAAGCTTTCTTGGGGCCCATGGTGAAATATTTTGCAGGTGCAGTCACTAAAAACGCTGTGATAATATGAAATGTTCCGATTGTATGTTTGGCACCCACGGGACAAGTGAGGCGCGCTCACGCCACACATGGACGCGTCTCGAATGGAACGAATCGCGTTGGGTGAGTTTTTTAGCGCTAGCCGAGGCAAAATTTTTGCGTTAAAATGTTTCACTAGGCGGATTTAACGTCATGCGATGCGTTCATTAGGCGAGGGTCCACTGTATATCAGGTTTCTATGTTATTTATATTTTTTATTATGTCATATTATATGAAATGAGATGGATAAATAAGCCGTAGAGTTGATATTAGCGAAATTATTGAAGTACAGTGGACCCCCGCATAGCGACCTTAATCCATGCAAGAGGGCTGGCTGTTATGCGAAATGTTCGGTATGCGAATGAATTTTCCCCATAAGAAATAATGGAAATCAAATTAATCCATGCAAGACACCCAAAAGTATGAAAAAAAAAATTTTTACCACATGAAATGTTAATTTTAATACACACAAACTGAAAAAGGCATGCACAATTACATGACACTTACTTTTATTGAAGATCTGGTGATGATTGATGGGATGGGAGGAGGGGAGAGAGAGTGTTAGTATTTAGAAGGGGAATCCCCTTCCATTAAGACTTGAGGTGTCGAGTCCTTTTCTGGGGTTACTTCCTTTCTTCTTTTAATGCCACTAGGACCAGCTTCAGAGTCACTGGACTTCTTTCGCACAACATATCTGTCCATAGTGGCCTGTACCTCTCGTTCCTTTATGACTTCCCTAAAGTGTTTCACAACATTGTCAGTGTAATAGTCACCAGCATGGCTTGCAATAGCTGTGTGAGGGTGATTTTCATCAAAAAAGGTTTGCACTTCAAGCCACTTTGCACAGATTTCCTTAATCTTTGTAGTAGGCAATTTCTTCAATTTCTCTCTCCCCTCCTTCGAACCAGTGTCCTCAGGTCTGGCCTCTTGCTGTTGAAGTTGATCTATCAGCTCATCAGTGGTTAGTTCTTCATTGTCCTCCTCCACCAACTCTTCCACATCATCCCCACTAACCTCAAACCCTAAGGACTTTCCCAATGCCACAATGGATTCCTCAACTGGCATAATCCTCTCAGGGTTAGCCTCAAACCCTTCAAAATCCCTTTTGTCTACACATTCTGGCCACAGTTTCTTTCAAGCAGAGTTCAAGGTCTTCTTAGTCACTCCCTCCCAAGCCTTACCTATAAGGTTTATACAATTGAGGATATTAAAGTGATCTCTCCGAAAGTCTCTTAGTCAGTTGAGTTTCTGAGGTCACTACAAAGCACCTTTCAAACAGAGCTTTTGTGTACAGTTTTTTGAAGTTTGCAATAACCTGCTGGTCCATGGGCTGCAGGAGAGGAGTGGTATTAGGAGGCAAAAACTTCACCTTAATGAATTTCATGTCCCCATAAAGTCGCTCTGCCACGTCTGTAGGATGACCAGGGGCATTGTCTAACACCAGGAGGCACTTAAGTTCTAATTTCTTTTCAGTTAGGTAATCTTTCACATTGGGGGCAAATGCATGGTGTAACCAGTCATAGAAAAAGTCCCTAGTGACCCATGCCTTACTGTTTGCCCTCCACAGCACACACAAATTCTCCTTGAGGACATTCTTTTGCCTGAACGCTCTGGGAGTTTCAGAGTGATACACTAATAAAGGCTTCACTTTGCAATCACCAGTAGCATTGGAACACATCAACAGAGTAAGCCTGTCTTTCATAGGCTTATGTCCTGGGAGTGCCTTTTCCTCCTGAGTAATGTAGGTCCTGCTTGGCATTTTCTTCCCAAACAGGCCTGTTTCATCACATTTAAACACTTGTTCAGGTTTCAGTCCTTCACTGTCTATGTACTCCTTGAATTCCTGCACATATTTTTCAGCTGCTTTGTGGTCCGAACTGGCAGCCTCACCATGCCTTATCACACTATGTATGCCACTACGCTTCTTAAATCTCTCAAACCAACCTTTGCTGGCCTTAAATTCACTCACATCATCACTAGTTGCAGGCATTTTTTTAATTAAATCGTCATGCAACTTCCTAGCCTTTTCGCTTATGATCGCTTGAGAAACGCTATCTCCTGCTAGCTGTTTTTCATTTATCCACACCAATAAGAGTCTCTCAACATCTTCCATCACTTGCGATCTCTGTTTCGAAAACACAGTTAAACCTTTGGCAAGAACAGCTTCCTTGATTGCCTTTCTGTTGCCCACAATAGTAGAGATGGTTGATTTGGGTTTCTTGTACAACCTGACCAGGTCGGCGACACGCACTCCACTTTCATACTTATCAATGATCTCTTTCTTCATCTCTATTGGAATTCTCACCCTTATTGCTGTAGGGTTGGAACTAGAAGCTTTCTTGGGGCCCATGGTCACTTATTTTCCAGAAAAAGCACCGAAAACACTGTAATAATACGAAATATTCCGATTGTATGCTTGAATGTTACCGCGGAGGCTGGCTGGTAAACAATGCCACCGGCGGAACATATGAGGCTGGCTCAGGCCGCACATTGGACGCGTCTCGGACGAAGGGCGGTGAGCGGGTTTTTGGGCGGTATGCGAGGCAAAATTTTAGAGATCAAAGCGTCCGGTATGCGGATTGTACGGTATGCAATGCGTACGGTATGCGGGGGTCCACTGTACAGAATTCCACTGGAATGGATTAATTGCATTTCAGTTAATTTATATGAGGAAAATTGACTCTGCAGACGAGCAAATCCAGTTGCGAGCAAGGTCATGGAACAGATTAAACTCGCAAGTAGAGGTTCCACTGTACTCAGATAGTCACAAACAGTGACAGGTGAACAGTTTCACCTACCTTAGTCACATACTATTGTCTAGAAATTTATACATAGTATTTGTAGGTCCCAGCAATGTTTTGGACACGCGGGAGTAAGACGAGTGTCACTCCACTGCTGACAGTGCAGCAGTGGAATTTGATGATCGTGCACTGCCTTGGCTTTATTTGTTTTCACATATTTAGAACACTACACTCAAACATAAACCCTCCACTCAAACTTCTCACCAACCTTTACAGGACACACAACCATAACACAAGACACAGATCTCTTTTTGATGTACCCCTTGCCCGTATCACATTGTAAAAACTCTATGCACATGAAGGGCCGCAAAATTTGGAATTCATTACCAGAAAATACTGAAGTAACCTGGTCTGAACATCAATTTAAGACTCTTCTCAAAAGCCACTTACTCACCCTAGACTATATACTCAATCCTCAATATTTAACTTTAACAGAAAATCTCCCAATTACCTATATCTTAAAACTTCAAGACTAGACACCCAAGTTCATACATTGACTAATACTACATAGTAGTAAAAATACCTACCCAAAACAGTACTGCCCTACACCAAATTGTAGCATTCTCATACTGTAAACTACTTTCAGCAAATCGCAATGGTTTATTCCCATAATATAATTTCACTATTTACTGTGGAGATATCGTATAACCTAAACTGTGATAAATTTCTTGAGTGTATTAGGCAGTCAGTAAGCCGTTAAATTAATGTTAAAGTTGTTGAATTTTTCCCTCATCACTGATCGTGTTTCACTGACCCAGGCCAGTGTATATTCAGGTCTAAACCTTGATTAGGTTGTGGTCTGTGTTTGCTGTCTTACAAACCATTATATCCTCTTTATACTTGTGATTATAAGGCTAAGTATATTTCCTAGTCTGATCAGCTCTGCTATCTGCTGGCTTAAGTCAGATTTATTGCAGAAGCTTAATAAGTTAGTTGCATGAGCAAATTGATAAATTGATTTTTTTGTTGCATTTCATTGTAAAGAATTATTTTCCTCATTTGCAGTGGTTACAACAGTGACATGGAGATGGGTAGTCGTGGACGAGGAAGAGGTGGCCCACGAGGAGGTCGCGGAAGGGGTGGTGGCAGAGGAGGCGACCGCTACAATAACGACCGTTCTGGAACTGGTAATACGCTCAGTGATTATATATCAAATGCTGAGAAACGGGGTGGTCCTGGGAGAGGAGGGGGTCCAGGTCGAGGCCATGAGGGAAGGGGTGGTCATGATGGCAGAGGAGGTCATGATGGCAGAGGAGGTCATGATGGCAGAGGAGGTCATGATGGCAGAGGAGGTCATGATGGCAGAGGTGGTCATGATGGCAGAGGAGGCCATGATGGCAGAGGAGGCCATGATGGCAGAGGAGGCCATGATGGCAGAGGAGGCCATGATGGCAGAGGAGGCCATGATGGCAGAGGAAGCCATGATGGCAGAGGAGGCCATGATGGCAGAGGAGGCCATGATGGCAGAGGAGGCCATGATGGCAGAGGAGGCCATGATGGCAGAGGAGGCCATGATGGCAGAGGAAATAGTGATGGCAGATTAAGTCAGGATGGTCGAGGGGACTACTCTCGACCCCCACCTGACCACAGGAACCACAGAGGGGGCAGTGCTGACAGGGGTGGACGACGAGATAAAAAATAGCCCATATCATGGTATGTGACCCTTTTATATGTGACTTTGACTGTACTTGACAAACATTTATCGAGGAATTCGTGGTTTTATAACCCATAAACACTCGGAATTTGAAATTGTTTTCCTTGGCTGATTATGTAAGACTAGGAATTACACCTACTATGGCTGTTTAAATAAAAAAATGCCTTTGGTACTGTATTTAAAATTCTTATAAAGTAGATGATTTTAAGGAAGAATATTTTGTTAAAAAATGTAACTTGATTGAACTTTATACACGTGCTATGAAAGCAATATACTTTACTTGCTAAATGATAATTGGTTCACAGTTAGACTGCAATAAGTACCAATGCTGTTAACAATACTTAACTTTAGCCAAAGAAATTATTTGGCATGAAAATATGCAGCCGAGAATCGAGGAGTATTCCAATGGCAGATCATTATAAATGTGGATTCAAATACCCTTGACAAAAGAATATTGTTACAGTACGTTATCAAATTAACATCTAATTAGTGATAGGGGAAAAAATCATTACCATTTACTGTGGAAGCTTCTTCAGGCTGTGTGGAGTTTTAAGTCTGCAGCCTTGACACAGCTTGGTCAACTCTCCACATTTCTTAGGTTATGGGGTCTATGAAAGCCCCATATATAAATATTAGACATACACCAATATTGCCACATTTATTGGTAATTCTTGATGCTGTGGACATTATTGGACACATGAGTTACTTGCCACATCTGCTGTTTGTAGTCAACTTGCTGTATGCATGCTGCAGTATTTTCTCTTGTGTTTCTTTGGTATTCCTGCAGAATGCATGTGTTATTAGCGAACTCAAGTTAATCACCATTTATAATCTGATATGACTTATTTAACAAAATTAAAAAGTTGCCAATAGGTGCACATTTTGTTATAATTAATCTTTAAAATTTGTGAACTCTGCTTTTGGCATGTTTTGCATTCACTAAAATGCAGCAATCAGAAGATCTTTTCAAGCAAAATGACTGCAGTAGTGCTGGAGTTCTGTAATGAAATTCTTGCCTACAATATATATGATGTATTGAGAATTGCATTCTTATCCTGACTTAACTATAGCCTCTTATGCCCTAAGATGTTTGAATAGTGTCATCATTATACTCGATAAAAGTAGAAGTTAATGTATCATGATGCAATTGACTTTCTCTATATTTATTGATTTTGTTACATTTGCTTTTATCTAACTTCTAGACTTGTCTGGTTATATCCCATAAACCACTTGTCTGTTTTCCTCATAATTTGCAGGAATTTGAATCAGGCTAAAATATAAAGCTAAAATGTATAATTATGTCAGTGACAAGATCTTTGCATTCTAAATCATTCAAGGTATTAATGTAAGGATCTTGTTAATTTTCTTACTATTCAGTTTTGGAGCTTTTCAATAATGCACTTCATCTTCTCTATGATGAAACATATCTAGACGGATTTGAAAGTAAGTGCAGCATTGTATTATTTAAAATATGGATTTTGTGTATTGTTTTATACATCTTACGTAATGAAACTGAGAGTATTTCATTACTAACCCATTACAGTACTTATCAGTTGAAAATAAAGGTAATCTTAGAAAGTCAGAACAAGATGACGCATTTTAAAGTGGTATATTTCCAATATGAGATGGATGTTTGTGACTGGGATTTTTGGGGGGGAAGCTTGTGCTCATCTTCATGGAGATTTCATCTTTATAAACAGTCAGGCTTCAGTAAAATAAATTCTATAGCTTTCCTAATGTATTGTAGGGTGTGTTTCTTGTACTTTAAAAAAAAAATTAATGCACAGTTCAATGATGCTTCATAAGAATGAGTTTAACAAGTTGTTCTTCTAAGATAGGTGCTTGTTTGAAGTCAACTGTGTAAGAATTACCTGCAATGATATTGAAGTTGATAAGTACAGAATTAGCATGACACTCATCCTGCTTATGACAAAATGGTATTAAGTATGCCATCTCATGTTAGAAACCCATTATTTCAGCACAACTAGAGAGTAAAATGCCAAATAAAAATCATTATATTTAAGCTTATTAATTGTTCGTCTAGACAGCTTCCTCAAGAATAATAAATGTTAGGGCACACAGCATAGCTTAGAGTGGCAGCTATTGGTGCTCTTGTGGGATACACTGGCACTTTGGGCTAAACATGGTCTTAAGAAATTTATGTAAAGTGGCAAAAGGCTTAGACAGTATAAGAATCATTGACCATTATTAACCAGTTTCTTGCCAGTTTTTTTTTTTCAGTTAATTTTTTGATGTGATACCAGTCTAAGGTTATCAACCACATAGTTAATGTTCAGTGTTTTATAATTATACTTGTTGTCAGACATCATGATACCAACACCATGGAAAAACACACAAACACACACACGAGAATAAAGGTTAAGGGAAATTGGTCTGACGACACTGGAGGACAGGAGGGTCAGGGGAGACATGATAGCAACATACAAAATACTGAGTGGAATAGACAAGGTAGACAGACACAAGATGTTCCAGAGATGAGACACAGAAACAAGGGGTCACAATTGGAAGCTGAAGACTCAGATGAATCAAAGGGACATTAGGAAGTATTTCTTCAGCCACAGAGATGTTAGGAAGTGGAATAGTCTGGCAAGCGATGTAGTGGAGGCAGGAACCATACATAGTTTTAAGATGAGGTATGATAAAGCTCCTGAAGGAGGGAGAGGGAGGACCCAGTAGCGGTCAGTGAAGAGGCAGGGCCAGTGGCCGAGTCTTGACCGCTGCAACCACAATTAGGTGAGTGTGTGTACACACACACAGACACACACACAGACACACACACAGACACACACACAGACACACACACAGACACACACACAGACACACACACAGACACACACACAGACACACACACACACACACACACACACACACACACACACACACAGACACACACACACACACACACACACACACACACACACACACAGACACACACACACACACACAACACACACACACACACACACAAAACACACACACACACACACACAGACACACACACACAGACAACACACACAACACACACACACACACACACACACACACAGACACACACACACATACAGACACACACACACACACAGACACACACACACACACAGACACACACACACACACACACACACACAGACACAGACACACACAGACACACACACACAGACACAGACACACACAGACACACACACACAGACACACACACACACACACAGACACACACACAGACACACACACAGACACAGACACACACACAGACACACACACAGACACACACACAGACACACACAGACACAGACACACACACACACACAGACACACACAGACACAGACACACACAGACACACACACACAGACACACACAGACACACAGACACACAGACACACACACAGACACACACACACACACACACACCCACACACACACACACACACACACACACACACACACACACACACACGCGTACACAGATACACATACGTGCACACAGTGAAAATGAGTACATTGTTTACCAAGCAAGCATCTTGCTTTATTTTTGTTACTTCTGAATATCCTGTTGAGCACAGCACCTTGTATCCTGCCGATACACCTCTGACTGGTACTTTGTACCTGCTGTGTGTCTGTTTTGCCATGGGATGCTGTCTTGGCAAAATTTCAATAAACTCAAGTCCCTGATATGCAGTTTCAGTTTAATCTCAAGTTGTTTACAGTCCACTGCATTTTGTATCTTCAAAGGACCTAATAAACTGGGTAATCCTCAGTTACTTTGAGTACTGCTTCTTAAGTTTTACAGAAGTTTTTGCTTAGCTGTAACCTGCATAAATTCCTAGCACATCTGAAACATGTTGACAGCTGTGTAACCATACATATTCAGTATGATGGAGAAGCTGTAAACATGATTGTAGTTTGTTATTTGTATAGCTAAATATTCACCTTACTTGACATCCTTTATCATTTATATTTTTTTCCATTTCTTCAACCTGTTGGTATGTAAAACTTTGAAATTCCTTGATGGTGTCTCCATGGATATATCCCAGATATCCCAAGCCCCCATACTGCATAGCCAGTACCCACCATCCTCATAAACATGTCATTGTTTGGAGCGTGCTAGTGCTCTCTTCTTTTAAAGTCAGATAATTCCACGTTTCATCAATTGATGTAGCTTAATATAACATACACATTTGCCATCTCAATAAATATATTGTTTAGTTCTTTCAGCTTCGTATATCTACATCTACTTATCTTGCATACATACATCCAGTGATATCACAGTAAACAGGTGATATCACAACATATAAAATAACCACTGTGAAAAAAATAGTGAAATTCATTAGTGATTTCCTCTCATTATCATGGAATGTGAGAAAATCATGAATGACTTTGGAATTTCACTTGTGTTTATATATATGTATATATATTATATATATATGTATGTATATATTATTATATGTATGTAT